TGTGCATCATTCTGCGTTTATTCATTTATTTAGTCATGTTTCTGCAGGGTACTTTAGAGGTGGAGGCCCTTTGAGAGCTGCATGCCACAAAATTTCATTCTAATGCAGGGGTGTCAAACTCAGGGCCCACGGAGGGGGGCCGGTCTGAAAATACCAAAGGACCAGCCCACGGGGCCTCTGGCGCATGCCCTCCCCATGCCCCCTTTTGGCTGGCAAACTGCTGCAGAAGGCTGTCCAGTATCCCCCCCCCCCCTTGCCGGCCCACGGAGGAGAACTACAATGCTGACCCAGCCCTCAAAGAAATCCAGTTTGACACCCCTGCATTAGAATGAAATTTTGTGGCATGCAGCTCTCAAAGGGCCTCCACCTCTAAAGTACCCTGCAGAAACATGACTAAATAAATGAATAAACGCAGAATGATGCACATACCCGAATATATTATATGACATGGAGAAACAACACAGTCTAGTTCAGCTGTATAAATATGCATGGCAAGGGAAACGGATCTTGAGTTTGCCAGATGGATGGCAGAGGGAACAAAGCAGTTACAGAATCTGGTAGTCCTGCTATGGATACTTCAAAGTCTTCTCCCAGAGGGGAGCAACAGGCACAGACCGTAAAATAGGTGTGTGGGGTCTCTAACCAGGCTTTGAGCTCTAAGCACATAGTGCTTATCAGCAGCATCCTGAATGACAGGTTATGCCTGGATTATGCCTGAACTTGCAGGCTGCTTCCCTGGGGCCATCTCGCCTGGCTCGGAAGCCACGGCCATCACTGGCTCTCGGTAGTTGAACCCAGAGCAGCGGCCATCTCTAGGAAGCACTAACCAGAATTGGAGGGGCGGGAAAACAGGGAGTTATTGGTTGTTTCCCAATTTCAGCTAGAAGTAACTAGAAATAACAGCCACGTTTACTGGATGACAAATGCGATGGTAGGAAGAAGACAAAGCCCACGGTGGATAAGATCAGGCGGGGTGAAGGTAAAACGACAGGATGGGCCCCGGCCTCAGTTTGCTAGAGTTGTTTATGATGCTTCATGAGCTGTCTCAAGAGCGATGGCGCCGTTGATTTGTGGAACACAAGGTCCTGTTTCTAAGGGAATATTGCAGGGGGGGGACTGTTTCCCCCGCAGAGGAGGGTTTTGTGGCTGCTGCAGCATTGACAATGTCAACCTTAGTGTTTTATTTAAAAAAAGGAACATTCTCGCTCACCCACAGACTCACCAGGCAAGCTTATTGCAGGCAATTTGCTACCCACAACAACCCCCACAGTCTGCACCTATGCAGGTAGCCCTCGACTTACGACCACAATTGAGCCCAACATTCAGGTTGCTGAGCGAGACATTGGTGAAGTTTTACCCCATTTTACGATCTTCCTTGCCATGGTTGTTAAGTGAATCATTGGCACTTACAAAGTTAGTAAGACAGTTGTTAAGTGAATCTGGCTTCCATGTTGACTTTGCCTGTCAGAAGGTTGCAAAAGTTGATCGTGTGAGCCCGGGACACCGCAACCCTCGTAAATATGAATCCGTTGCCAAGCATCCGAATTTTGGTCATGTGACCAACGGGGATGCTGCAATGGTCATAAGTGTGAAAAACGGTCGTACGTCACTGTTTTCAGTGCTGTTGTAACTTTGAATGGTCACTAAGGACTACCTGTCATCGCCTTGGGGATCCACTCTGGAGTATCTTCAGCTGAGATCAGTA